CTAGTTCCATTTCAAAACACGCGAACAAAACCAGCTTAGTTAACTTAACGTTCTCTGCTGTGACTGACCGGGAAGTCCAAGGGTGGAGTCTCGGTGATGGATTTGCGGCACTCGCAGCGGCCATGGTTGCTTTGATCGGTTTTTTATCGCGCACGGTCTGCGCGCGATCATCCCTGTCTCCTCTTTTGTCCCTTTACTCACACTTTGCATGCTGTACTCTACCACAGGTCTCGTATCAGGAGATCGAAACCCCGGTAGAGGCGGTGCCCCGCTGGGGAAGTACCTGGAGGGGGAAATTCCCGCAAACCGGCATGTAGATCGCCATGGGATCTCACCATTCAGCGGGGGAAGAAATGCCGCGTTCTCTTGCGATAAATCATTCACATTAATGATCAGAGCAATTGCATGCCGAGAAACAGCAATCGCAAATTCGAAGTCATTAGTAAAAATTGAATTACAGTAAAGAGCCAACAAGTTTTGCTACGCGTTTCGTATTCTTACTTTATTACACAACCCTACTAACATTAACGAAAATTTGTTACCGGAAATGAGTATAAAACCTGAAAGGGGAAGGGAGGTAATCCTTGGATGCACCATTCTATAATCATTGTAAGAACTTCAATTTGACCTTTCGAATGATAAAAATCGGTATTTTAAACGAACTAATTTCAAAAATATTCCCCAAAATACTCCCCCCCCCCAAAAAAAGTAAAAATGTTCACTACACCGGGCTTCTTTATTTTTAAAAACTGGTTTGTTAGTCAACGTTGACAAGAGATAGATTTAAAGGGTTATACAAATTAAATAAATTGGGTTTTATCTTTTGTAGAATTAGTGAAAAGTCGAGAAGGGAACGGCTATCGTGAATTATAATTGAAATATCTTGTTCAAGTTGTGTGTGCTACATTTCTTTTCGTGAAATTGCTATCGTCAATAAAATAGTCTACTTTGTAGGGATTCACTATATTTTTTAAAAAAGGGAAATTTTACTCCAAATGCAATTTTTCAATCGACTATGGCTTTCCTAGGAGTGTGACGCCCAGCATTGGTTTTAATGTCCCTCATAACTGGGACGGCCGTGTCGATTGCCTTTAGCGTTCACACACGGCGCTTACTCATCGCGATTTGCATGACCTTATACAGACTTCTCCACACAAGGCCGTTTTTTTAGCTCGAGGCGTGATTAAGCTGTGAACGGCCTCCAGGAAAGCGCCTTTCATAAGGGAAGGAAGATGCGTACCGATGGCGCATGTGGATTACGCCGGTGAATTAGCCAGCGGTCGTTAAAGGCCATTGTTCGTGCGGGTGCGTGTTTTTGGCAGTTTTTTTTCTTTCCCGTGGTGGATTCGGTCGGGGCCCGAGCGGAGTCGGTTTGGCGACCTCTGTCGTTTGGCCACCTGCCCGCGTGCGCCCGCCTGCGCCCGCCTGCTCGAGCTCCTCCGCCCCGCCCCGACCGTGGCTCGTGTCCGCCGCTCGTCCCTCTCCTCTCCGCTCCAACCCTTCGCCCGCGGCCGCGTGCTGTTCTCGCCACGGCCGCGGCCCTCGCCGCCCGTGGCGCCGCCGGGCCTTGGTGTGCGTCTGTGCGCCGGCGAATGTGGGAGCCGCCGCGGGCTCATCACGGGCCGCGCTAGGGAGGCACCCCTTCGCGACCCGACCGGCCGTGCGAGGAATATGAAATATCTTGGTCGCGAATCTCAAATGCAATGGATTTTAATTTACGTAACAAATTCGTGAGAGATGTTCTGCGTTGCGTATTCTTTCGGAGAGCTCGCTTGATGGTATTTTTAGTTCGGCCAGTATTTGGCAGGAAGGCGAGTGGAGCAGAGTATCTTTAGTTGCATCCCTGGTTGCGGCGTTGTCACGTCTGCTCTCGACGCGTGTGAGGCTGGTCAGGACGCTGGAAGTCGTGGGCGTTGTGGGCGTGGAACGCACTTCCTCGCCCCTGTGAGGCGCGTACCCTTCGTTGCTCACAAAACGCGACGTGGCCCGTGTCCGCGCGTGCCGTGATAGATCGACCCGACGCACGCACCTTCCACACGTGACAACGTCGGCTCGCGGCCAGCACTGGCCCCGCGCAGCACCGCCTCCGCCACCGCCTCCGCCACCGCCGTCGGCGGCGGCAGCGTCGTCACCTGCTCGCGCAAGTCAACAGTGGACCAGATCGGAGCGGAGCAGCCCGCACGGCGAAAGGATGGCTGCGCGGCCAGCTGCGACGGCGGCCGCGGGCCCCTCGGCGGCGGGGGCGGGCCCGACTCCCGCGCGGCGCCACCGCTACGCGCGCTCGTCCACCACGGCCAGCGTGACGCAGATCCTGAGCGAGTCGTGCTCCAGCCTGCTCCAGCGGCTGACGACGCGCGTGCGCGGGCCCTCGGCCGCCAGCGATGCCCTCGGCGCCACCCGCAGCCGCCTCGAGGACAAGTACTCGGCCGTCCTGGACAAGTACAGCCGGCGGCGTGAGCACGACGCTGGCGGAGTCGGAGGCGCGGGGGAGGCGGCCGCGAGCACGGCCTCCGTTGCCGCCGCGGCCGTCGCCTCCGCTGCCGCCGGCCGTCAGTCAGTGCTCGAGGCGGCCGCGGTCGGGACGCACTCGCTCGCCAAGAGCGCCACAACCACGATGGTCCTTGCGGAAAAGTCGTACCCGTACGTGTCGAGCACCGTCCAACCGCGCGAGAAAACGCCCTATCGCCATGGCGAGCGCAGGGCGTCGGGGCTGCACCACGGGCACCACCGCCACCATCATCACCACCACCACCACAGACACGAGCGCCAGGAGAAGGCGAACGCTGTCGTGGCCTCCGGCGCGGGGCAGGAGCGCGACGCCCAGGAGGACGCGTTCGGCGGAGGAGGAGGAGGCGGCCACGGCCATAGTCACCGCGTGCGCCACAAGTCCGGGCAGAGCGACGTGCGCTGTAGGCCCACGACCAGGCCGATGCGCGCGGGCAAGAGCGAACAAGGGGACTCGCGACCGGCGCTCCTCTACTCCGTGGAGGTGTCCCCCGCGCCGCCGTCGGCACGCCTTCAGGACGACCTCATCGCGGAGGACGACTCGATCAAAGAGCGCGAAGCCAAGCGGAAAGAGATTCAGAGCCTAATTCTCAAATACTCTGCGCTGGATGAGGCATACACGAGGCTGGGCGAGGCGTCAAATGCAGATGTGGTGTCCACTACAACTGCAATTGCTAATAAATATCAACACAAAAAGTTGACCACGGCAGTAGCAACTGTAAGTAGAGGTCTTTTGAAGATTGCATGGCATCATTTGTGGATGCTGAGATGTCTACAATGTAATGTCATAATATTCTTGCAATAATAGGAAAAATATTGTGCAAGAGGAACTTTGCACAAGATATTTATAATTGCCTCGTGTGTGTCTGATTTCTGATACTGAATTCACATGCTTCATTATGTTATTTGTATTTGTTACTGCTTTGCATTCAGTTTGTTTTTATTATACTGTTACTTTTGTTTATTCATTTTTTTATTTTGCAAATTTTGTGAGATTGATCTGTCTAATGTTTCCTAACATTCTTTTAGGGCACTTGTTTATTCATATGGTCGTGTGTGAATGTTGAGTTTGCAAGAGTCTTGAACGGAAGGAAGGAATGCAGCAAGCTGAATGTAAGATTGTTAACAATTCAGAAGTTTTCAAAGAGCTATTCTTAAAGTTCATTCCATTTACATTTGTCATTAACACAATATGGAAATGTAGTATAAATTAACACCTTGATGTATTTTTGAAGGGCAGTATGGATCTTAACAGCAAGCACCCATGTGATCACCTCGAGCAATCCTGCATGCTAAGTCTTAGCCTTAGTTCTGCAATAAAATTTGGGTAAGAAATGCCTCTATAATTCAGCTTAGCATACACACTGTAATAAAGAAAGCAATTAAATATTGTTATTATTGTGTTTACATTTGTGCTGGTGGCTGCGGTGGTAGTTGAATTTTCACCCTCTTATCTAGATCTAGATGTATTCTAAGGTTTTTTGTCAAGTACCCGAACACAACTGCCATTGCCTCCATCTGTTGTAGTATTGCTCTGGTAACACATTATTTTGTTCCCATGGCAATCAATTGTTGTCATTTGTTGACATGGCAAACCATTTTGCCCTCTCCCCTCTGTCTCTTGATTGTTGGGTTCGCATCTCGGTTTGAATTGGCGGCAATGAAATGGCACATCCACCTCTATGGCCCACTACGCTCGTGTTGGATGCGCCTGTCTTGCCCTGCCCGTGCCCGTCCTGTTCGGTGTATAATGGCGTCGATGGATGATGTGACTTGTGTTGGTGGCGTCTGGTGACCACTGCAGAGCTCTCGGGCACCGTCAGTGGAAGACGACGACGATGGCCACCTGATTTATCGCCATGGCGGCGTTCTCCAAGACCGATGTTCGTGAATACACCAACTTAGTATATATCTATATACTATAGACATTAAATATCCCCGCAAACTCCATGGGGAAGACACATTTAACTATCTATGACTAAAAGGATCATTAATAACAACCACATTCCTTTTCAGCATCTGTGTGGGGAGGGAAAGGGTGGGAGGAATGTAAGTGGCATGTTTTGATATAAATGGGGACAGAAGACAACAGTAGGATTAAGGGCAAAGAAGAAACTTAAAGAGGAAAAGGGATCTTTTAAGCATGGAGAAGGTAGCTTGCATTACTCAGGGTCTTCATGGGGAAATTAAATAATTTTTTATTATTTAAAATGAAAAGGATTAAACTAGGATACATTGTACATTCGGCTATGCTTGTTGAAAACTATTCACTATTGTTCTTACAACTATTTGAAAGATTAGTTTATTTTTTATGGTCACAAGTAATGTAATTTATTCAGCATGTTTGTTTCTCATTGTTCATTTTTGTAACGTTTGTGTATAATACATTTTGGTAAGTGATAGTTGGATCAATTTATTCATTTGATGGTTTTCAACAAAGACATAGCACATATCTTTATTCATTGTAACTTACTTGTATTCATTATCTTTTCCAGATAAAATCTTAGCCACTCTAGGTGAAGGCACCTTTGGAAAGGTCGTCAAAGTTAAAGACTTGCATACGTAAGTGTTGAACAAGTAACTATCCTTTTGTTCAGATTATTTTCTAAACCTGAATCTTTTTAAGAATAGTTTTTGAATCCCATTGCCTTAGTTTCATGATACATTTTCCACAATTTTATTATTATTATTATTATTATTATTATTGTTATTATTATTACTATTGTTATTTGAATTATTGCAACAATGCTTCCATTTTCTTTCTTTCTCTTTTTTTTTTTTTTCTCCAAGGAAAATTATTTTATAAACTAAGATTTTTTTCTTTTTTCATGCCCAGGTGTGCTTACAATAACATTTTTAAAATTATTTAATTTGTTATTTTGAATTGATTTGAAATTATGATTCTTCCTGTAGGGATAGTTGTCGAGGTAGGCAGAACAATTATTACTTAAGGACTTCATCATCATATCATCTTCATCAAGTCACCATCATACACTTCATTGCATGACTAAATTGTTAAGCTTGTCTCTGGTGTTTTACTTTAGTTTAACCTCATTTTCATTGACTTAATGCAATATTAACTTGTTCTGGAGGATTGCTGGTGAGTTAGTACAATTTTCCTACACCATTGGAGATGTATTTACATGCATTTTTAAGGCACCTAATTCAGTTGAGTTTTGAAAGGGTTCTTGGAATCCAAAATGGTCTTTTACCCAATTATGAACTGTATAACAGGTCTTATTGCTGTTGATGTTTGAGTGGTGCAATATTTATTTGGATGTTTGTAGTTCTCTAATTGGTTTATGCTTTTGTCTTGTTGGAGCCCTCATGATGCAGCTGCCTCTGTTTTTGTACTGGATTGTTACTTTGATTGGTGTTTAGAGAAGGTTTTGTGTCCTTGTTGACTTTGTGCTGAGAAGCAGTTCGAGCAATAGAGTATTGCCTGTTCAAAGCAGCTGACATTCTGGTTTTGTTAGGGGAATGTTTAATTTCTGTAACTAAAAGGGTTAAAAGTTGAGAGAGATGAAGAGACACCAAAACAAAAACATACATCTGAGTAGCGGGAGCAATACAACAACATTCATAAAATATATTAAAAAAATACTTTTGTGTCTGGGTGTCAAGTTTGAATTGTTTTTTAAAATCATCTTTAGAAGAATGAAATAGGATATAATGTATTTTGAGAAAAGTATCTTAAAATTAATGTATTGTTGTTTTTCTTTGTTTCTTCAAGTAGCATTTGCTAATTGACTTAAATGGTTTTCGCCAATAAATCTGTCTGGAATAAAAGTTAATAGTTTCAATGTAATTCAGGCTATTCAACATTTCTAACTTTTTTTTTTGTAAGGTTGGGGAAAGATCACTCTTAAATGATGTCGCTTCAATTGCTGATGGTGACTGTCCTGCCAAAATTCTTGAACAGAAATTAAATTAGTTTCATTTCATATTCTTTTAAGTTTCATAATAAAATGAGCCAGGAGAAAATATATTTCTTAATGCATATACTTTTTCCATAGTCAAACGATCACAATTATCAGGCAATAGAAAAGATAATAATAATTTGTTGTTGTTGTTATTATTATTATTATTATTATTATTATTATTATTATTACAGCAATAAAGACTAATGGTCATGCAATAGGGCAATAGAATGTAATGAAGTGCAACTATATGATCTAGTTGAATCTTCAGTATTTTGTAAATGGCCTGAGTACAAATTTATTGAGCAATTTCTCTTTTAAAGGCTGAGCTCTTTCTCTTTGTATCTGGATTTGCAGTTGCAAAGCTAGTATTACAAAACAGGAGCATCAAGCTAAGTTACCCAATTAGTGCAAGAACTGTCAAGGATTCTGTGTACCTGTCAGTCTTAACAAACCAACTGTTAAAAATTAAACAATGTTTTAATGTACCTGCAACACAAATTATTCAATTCCAATGGAAAAATGCGAATGAAAGAGATCCACAATACTCACAATGGTAATGGTAAATTGTCACATTTTAAGATCTGAAGCTTATGGGGAATGAAAATTATAAAACAACAAAATGGAATACTCATGTAAACATATCTCATCCATTAGTGAATTGTAATACCGTTTTTACAACTAACTTAGGAACGGTACTAAGAAAGGAATCCCAAATGTATTGCCCCTGCCTGAATCCCCTTGCCTTGCTAGAAACAAAAGTTCAGTATATAATTTTACTTATTATTATATATAATATGTCAGGTCATAAATATAGCCTTGCATCTTCTTACCTATAGACCAAACCGAGAATCAATAAATAACATTCGTCACATTGCCCAATATCAGCATTGGTTCACTTTTTCTCTTTTTTCTTTTCTTTCTTTCTTTTTCTTTTCCCTACTGTGAACATATTCTAGGCTCAGGTCTCGATCACTGCTGAGAGAAATTGATCTTGGCTTCAGGAAGTTCAAACATGAGCTCTGCTTTAGGATGTGTTAGTTTATCACTATATGTTTACAATTGGTAGGCAACTTGTCATACATTGCTGTTTGGCTGGCCTCATATTGATGGAGTAAAGATGTTCTGTACCCACCAAAGTTGCCTATTAACCAGAGGAAAATGTCACATGTGTAACATTAAGTGAAATTTCTCATACATTCAATGGCAAAGAGTGATCAACTTAAAATTTCTATATATTTGATAACATTTATTCTGAGACTATATATTATTATGTAACCATTACCAACAATAGTTTTTACACTAAATAGAAAGGCTAACATTAATGATAATAACAACAATGATGTAGTGTTGGAGAAGATGAAATAGTGTGTTTTTGCATATTGCTTACTTGTAGAGGTGCTGATATTTGTAATAATAGTAGTACTTACACAAACATTTAGTGCCTTTCCAATTTCGTTTATCTATTTTTCTATTCTGTATACCACGGTTTAGATTTTGTACTTTGATAATTTACATTGCAATCACTTGATTCCAGAAAAACAACAGGGAAATGATTGCCAAGTGTGGCGAGTTTTTATTTCATTTTACTCTGAGAATGACCAGATGTTAATGAGTTGTTTCCAGTGCATGTAGATGTCATTGTTGCTTCCTGCAATGGAAAAATTAATTGAAATGAATTTTTAGGACTACATCGACCTTGAATTAGAGAGTTGGTAAAATTTGAATTCCACAGCACGCTCTTGTCTGCCATGATAAATCCTAAATCTAAGACACGAAAGATCACAAAACAAATATGTGACTGGCAACTGGATTCTGCACAAGTTATGAAGCCTCGCTTATTGAACTGATCCTGGCTAACACTGTTTCCTACAAATTGATGTTTTCAGAATTACAAGGCAATAGCTGGGTCTGCTAATCTTAGTGTCAATGTGCAAAAACTCTAATATAGAAAGTATGTGTTGCTTAGAGTACCTATTATGTATATTATTTAGAGTTTCAACTTGTCATTACAAGTTCTTAAGTATCTAGTTTATAAAATAGTGAGGAGTACTTGTTCTTTTTGTTATTCTTTTCTTTAGTTTTCTCTTTGGGAAACCTCTAAAAATAATTTTCAGTGCTTTGTCTTAAAGTTAACACAAATGGAATCACTGTAGTTTAATACACGTGAAGAATGGTAGTGTAATAAAATCATAGAGGGGCAGGGTAGTTGACCAAAATGTTGTGTAATTGTGAAATTTGCTGCGAAATTACTAAGTTACTAGTATTAATTTTAAATTAACTTAAAAAATTTCATTCATTCATTTGTAGTATATTTGTTAGCATACTTTGAAATAAGGTTGTACAATATGTCGTGTTAATTTTGTTTTTTCTTGTCATGCAATTTCTTTTTTCAAGTTTGTTGCTAAGAACAGTAAAGAAAATTGTGCTAGTCTCATTTTGTGCGCACTGTGCATTTTCAAAAATTAGGGGGGGGGGGATTGAAATATTAAATTGAATTTCCTGCACTTCGTTTCAGTGTTATCACACATTGCTTTCTGATTACCAAGCAGATAAATTTATTAAACTACTATTTATAGTATTATGTAACGAAGTTTTCAAATTAAAACTTTTATCGTTGTTTAAATACTGCTAAAATTGCTACTAAAATAAATTATAAAGTATTATGTCATGTTAATGCTTTTTGGAGCATCTGTAACTGTTTGAAGACCTTGTTTGGAAGTCTTTGATTAAAAGAACTTTCATGAAAGCCACAATGAAAACGAAGAAACAAGTTCCTTTTTTGGCGAGAATTGATAAGAAAATGCACCCCTTGTTTTATCGCCAGCCTCATGCAGCCATTCTTGCCATTGACTGTAGATTGAGATGCGTTTATGGACAGAAATTGCAGTATAATAATGTTATGTAATTATTTATTTAGGCAAGAAAGTATATGCAGTTTTATCACCACCAGTTGGTTTACTGAACTATTTGATAAGGGTTTTAGTTCATCCTGTCTGTACCTTATAATTCGATTCAGACAGTAGCTTTCCCCTAATTTCAAATATCGTACGTCCCTAGTTTGTGTCAAACATGGCAATTGCCATCCTGCTTTACTCGTTCCATCATTGACATTGAACCTACATTGAATTTCTCTGTATGTTTTTTATGCTTATTCCATGACTTGTATCAATTCTTACAAAATTATATTTATTGACATCTGAACTTACTTTCATGAACCCAAAAAAGTCCAAATAAAATTAGAATGTGATCGACATTTCTTGATCCTGTGGTGACGCTGCTAGGGAACAGAGTAGCAGAAGTTTTGTTATTTGGACATTGTTTTTTTCTAAAAGGGAACAAATGTTGCAAGCAAACAAATGTAACAAATGTTGGGAACAAACTTAAAGAGTTTCTCAACATTCCATTCTTCTGTTTGTGTAGTTAGTGTAGAGAGCATGTGATAGAACGTGCAGTATGCGGCAGCGCTACCCCCCACCATACCTAAATGTCAAATGCATTCTAATTTTATTTGCAGTATAAATCATTCATGAAAGTCATCCCTGACTTACAACTGCACTCTCTTAACTGAAACTTACAGACCTTATCAGACATTGTTTAGTTCATGTAGGTAGTGGAAGTAGAGACAGAGTGATTCGGTCTTCTTTAGAACTAAGTTATTTTTGATACTGAAAATAAATGGAAGCTTAGGTTTCCTTATTGTACACGTGAAAATATCCACACGTTTTTGGGTTTATTCAGACTATTTTGATGGCGGTCAGTTTGTGCGAATGAAATTTATATTTAAAAATAAGTGTGTGTCTTGAGTTGGTAGGATAGTGGAAATTTAATTTCATGTCATTGTGTGTAGGAGTATTTCAATATTTTAAGTTTCACTACATTTTAATAGATTTGTTATGGTTATAGTTTGTCATAATAGCCCCCTAACACCTACTTAACACACTTTTCTTTAGAGAGTTTTAGGAAATGCATGCATGAACATAAGGCTTCTGGAGCAGAAAAGTCATTGTGAACATGTGCACATTCATTGAAGCTCCCAAAATTGTCAAAAGGAAGCATATAAATCGGGTCAAAGGACCACTACTTCATTTTGTATGTAAAATGACTAAACTCCTTTTTCCAAACACAGTTCTCCCCAGTGTCTATCAGTTATTTTCTTTTCAAATAAGTGAAGTTGTTATTCCCCCATTAGATTTGTTTTTTCGTGCCTTGAGGAATGGAGAATTATTCATCCAAAGTTAAAATGTGTTCTCTAAGATAATTCATTTCAGTCCTTTGATTTCTTTATCTGATTTTAGAACATCCAAACATTATTAGACCTGTTGAGGGGCAATAGTGATGAGTTTAATCTAAAAAAGTTGTCTTGAGAGTAAAGAATATTATGTTAAGTGAAGAAAAGAATAATGTGCATTGTTGTAGTCCATTAATATTGTTTTTTAAAAAGCACATCATTGTGAGTGATGTTATAATTAATAATTCAGATGTGGCAAATTATTTTCCAGAGATGAAATAATGGCTTTAAAAATAATAAAAAATGTTGAAAAATACAGAGAGGCAGCTAAATTGGAAATTAATGCCTTGGAGAAAATAGCTGAAAAAGATCCAGAGGGAAAACAGTGAGTTGCTCCAATATTGTATTACATATGCCAATAAAACAAATCTGCACTGTAATGTAAATATTTTTTGCAATTTATTTTCCAGTCTGTGCGTGAAGATGTTGGACTGGTTTGACTACCATGGCCATATGTGCATTGCTTTTGAAATGTTAGGCCTGAGTGTTTTTGACTTCCTAGTAAGTATTATGGCATATTTATTTTTGGATATGTTTTTGTACATTTTCAAACAAGATCACTCTTTATAGAATTGAAATTTTTATAAAAGTTAGATATTCTATTCTTATTGCTTTCATTGTTAGTTTCCCGTTACAATGATGCTAAAAGATAGGCTTGTGTAAGCAATGATCTTAGCTTCATTCAAAAGTACACCAAACTTGTAATTATTTGGCAATGTGATTCTACTCTCAAAAATTGATATTCGGTTATCCTGCTATACCAATTCTATTGGGGACCAAATGTTTTAAATTTTTTGTCCATTTCTATTCAGCATTAAAAACTGGCGTTTATTATTAATAAAATTATTTCTTTGTAGAAAGACAACAGTTACCAGCCATATCCCCTTGATGCAGTGCGGCACATTGCATATCAGCTGTGTTTCGCTGTCAAATTCCTTCATGACAACAAACTTACACATACAGATCTGAAGCCAGAGAATATTCTCTTTGTTGACTCAGATTATGATATCTCTTACAGCAGTAAGAAGGTGAGGCTTACAATTCATGTTTTGTTTTTTTTTTTCTTCTTCTTCTTCTTTTTTTTCTTTTAAATACTTCTAACATTTGTTGACTTGTTAGTTAGCCAAATATGTACAAAATGTAGAATTGAATGAAATTCAGCCTTTAATCAAAGATTTGACTTGTGTGATTTGTGTAATATTTGTTTTCAAAAATTTTCTTTGAATTGCTTTGATTGTGTTATAGTCTTGCGAAAATTAATTTTTTCATAAAATGTTTATTATTGTTCATTGTAAGTATTATTGGGAGGCTGGAGATGTGTTTTTGACAGTCACAAAGGACCCTACCTTTTAATGAATGACTAACTGGAGGATACACATCAAGTGACTATTTGAGAAAGGAAAGAAGAAAAAAAATTAAAAAAGTAAAATACTAAATTATTAGTTTTAAAATCTCCAAATTCTACTTGCTGAACTACATCACTGAACATATAACATCACAGTCCATTAAGAAAGACTAGAAAGAGCAAAGGGCCGAAACAAGCACTGTGATGAACCCCTGAAGTTGCAGGAATTTCTAGAAATGTGGTTTTCTTTGACAACCTGGATTCCAACCTGAAGATAGTCCGGTAACACTTTTAATGAGGATCCAGATAATTCAATTTATTTAAGTTTAATGAGTAGATCATGATTGATATTCAAATGCCTTGTTGAAATGTTACGTATGCCTTAATTTTAACTAGAGGAATTATAATATTTACAAATGTTTTTGGGATTGACAGTGAAAGTTTTCTAAAGTACAAAACTCTTCTTGAAAGGAATTTGCACTTGCTTCTAAATTTGAAATATATGTGATGTAGTGAATCAGTTTTTGTCAAGTTGTATAATTCACAGCTTTAATCTTTAAAATGATTGTCTTCAATTCTTTGCTATACCACACCAGAAATTTTGGGCATAACTAATCTCTTTTTAGTTAATTGTGCTTCATGAAGGAGAAAAGTAAGCAATAAAAAAAATTACTCTTCAAACATGTAAGAAATGTTGAAATATAGGTAAGGAACATTCCTTAGCAAATAATAATGTAACCACTGCATTGGATGTGCAAATGAAAACGTGGATGGTAATCATTCTTGGATACAATTTTATCACTAAGCGTGCATGCAAAGGATCTCCTTTGTTTTCAAGAAGACTAGATTGAGAATAACTGCATTATGTATTAGGTGCGCTGTAGAGGTGGCGATAGTGTAATGGTTAGCATATCGGACATTTATACCTAAGTTTGTTGGTTCAAACTCGATTGAAGCCGTGGATTTTTAAGGGCGAAAAAATCATTTTTTGCATTCAAAGAAGTAAAGCTGGCTGTTTATGCTAGTAGATTTACTACATGTAAAAGATCCTCAAGCCTAAATGAAGCCTCTGAGCTAAATTCAAATCACCTGTTTCATCACCCGAGTGACATCCTTTCTTCGCTAGTGGGTGAAAGCAGCGTAGCGAAATTTGCGTGGTCAGGCAGAAGAGCAGATCTGATGACCAGAGTCTCGCCACATAAAATAAGGCATCAATTCAATTCAGTGCTATTGCACTGAAAAAGGTTCAGAGAGAAACTAATTTCAGGACATACAGTACTAAAGTTACTCATGCAATGGTGTCACACAAACATTGAAAAGTTATTGTGTTGGTCAATATTCCAATTATGAAGGGTATAATCCCCTAATTACAGCCAATCGGTATCTGGATATGAAAAATGTTTCTGGAGTGTCTCAATAAGATGTCATATCATCTTCCATTGAATCATGTAGAAAGCAGAGAGCCTTGACAAGGACATTGAGTTTACTATTGTAAATACAAATAAATAAATGCTCCACGTTATGAGCTGAATCGAGAGATACTTTGATAAGAATTTCAAACTGCTATTAGTACACCTCCACCTCTACCAAAATTACTGTTGCATCAATTTCTGTCATTTCTATAAATAATAAAGTAATGTTCATTAACTGAGAGCTGAAAATAACTGGAACTAGCAATGTTTCTGTAAGCATAACATAATCATTAAGTGCATAAATACATTTTTCAATATTTTAATTTGGTGTTCATGCCTCTAACCACTCATAATAGTACTAAAGTCCTACACCTTTTTTCTAGCACTCTTTCTGAAGTGTCAACAATCTTAGGAGTACCGGTAATGTACTTGATAGTTTTGGTAACTGTTAACAGGATTCTAATCATAATAGTTCATTCTTAAGCTTTTTCTAATTCATAGTGTCTATGCTCAATGTCCAATTGGCATTAATTTCCATGGGTTGATAGTAATTTGATTTCTTTATCAAGATTTCCAAAACTTATAGATGTTACGGTTACTTGAACTAGTCGGGGCTTGACAACATTAAGTTTTCCCTAATCATTGGACTCAAACCTAGAAAATATTTTAGGTTAGTCTCTGAGACTAAACATGAAAACACAAGAGACCATTAATTCTATGTTAGAATTTAAACTTTTTATGGAAAATGTTCTTTCAAAATTAAAATCAAACGGAATTTATAATATTTGTTTCTATTTTGTTTCACATCTTTATTGTGTATTTATGCTTAGATCAGTTTTTGTCAATATGTGTAATTTGTAGGCTTCAATCTTTAAATCATCTCATGTGTTTACTGTCTTTCATTGTTAATATTCAAAATATTAACGTTAATTTTTTACGTTGGTTGGCTCCCTTTCTCTACATACTGGGATTGTTTTCTCTTAGAATGGGAACTTCACCCATTTCATATTTTGACATCGTTTGTTTAAAAACTTTTTATAAAAAAAACATGTCCTTATGTTTTTATGAGATACGTGCTTATTTCATGTTTTGGTAAGTTCTCTCCCCTCTAATTTATGTCTTATACTTATTACCTATGTTTTTCACTTAAATTTGATCTTTAAAGACTTTTATTCTGTTTTGTGTAGTTCAAAATTTGTATTCAATATTTTCAAAAAAGTTAGTCATTTTTACTCATGTGAACTGGTGTATAGTGATGTTTTGTCATTGGCCCAGTTTTTGCAATTCCTATACTGGAAGCAACACCAGATATCAGTCTTACTTGCATAAATTTTGAAATTATATACGACTGAAATAATTGCTTAAAACAGTTATATTTTAGAACACTCAAATTATTCGTAATAAATGGGTAGTTGTAATCATAAAATCTATTACAATATTATAGAAGCAGTTACCATCAATGATCCTTTTATAGTGCTTACTTTTTAGTTCTTATTTTTTTTAAATGTTGACATTTAACATCTTGTTACAGAGAAGAGATATTAGACATATCAAGAGAACAGATGTGAGATTGATTGATTTTGGTAGTGCCACCTTTGACCATGAACACCATAGTACCATTGTTTCCACCAGACATTATCGAGCACCAGAAGTTATTTTGGGTACGTATACCAGTCTCGAAAGTAAATATTTGGTTTAATTAATCATATTTAATGAGTTCTTTTATTCATTTATTATTTGTTTGAAGATTGGTGAAATCTGTAAATATGCTGTTTAATGTTCAGTGTTTATGAGCATTTCTATGTCCAAGTTAACTGTTCTTGCTATTTATGAAATATTGTTTTGAGTGTAAATATGTTAATATTTTCATAAAAAAATTAATTATATAGATCATTGACTGTAATTTTAATTATCTAAATAAATCAGTTATGATGTATTGTCCTTACGCTCTATTGTTTTGTGGGATATAACATAGTTCGTGTCCTTCATTTTATGGTAATTATTAATATGTTCCAAATATTTTTTTCCTTTCCTTTAACTTATGTCTTAATAAATGGAATTCTGTAATTAATAGAAAGTTGATTGGGGATATATTGGGGTATTATATTGGAAGTAACCTAAAATTCACAGTAGTTCACCGTAGGACCTCTCAACTAGACCACCTGTTTCGAAAGCACCATCCTATTTGAAACTAGGATAGTTAAATTAACAGAAGTGTCTATTAGTTAAGTAGTGTGATGTCACCTTCACACATTTTGATATTTAATTTATTTTAAGATATCGCATGGAGAGTTAAATAGTTTTCACTGTATTTAAAATCGTGGCTTAAAGATGATGCTGAGAGAGATTGTATTGTTTAGTAATTTATCAGGATTGTCTGTTACATTTCAACTTGCTAGTTGTTGACTTTTTTTATGGTGTTTCCCTTAATTTTGTTTGCAGAATTGGGATGGGCTCAACCTTGTGATGTTTGGTCAATTGGATGTATAATTTTTGAGCTTTACCTGGGTATAACTTTGTTTCAAACACATGATAACAGAGAGCATTTGGCTATGATGGAGAGAATACTTGGCCCCATTCCTTACAGGTATGTTGAATACTTACATTTACGCAAAAAATTTGCAGTTTTCAAATATTTGTAATTTGATGTGAATCTATATGAAATCAATGATTGCTCACTGAATCCACAATTGAGTTATTAGTGTTATGAGAACTACATTGAAACTAGAACCATATGGAAATATGTAAGTAATGAGTTGTGGATACCTGGGATCAGCTTCACAAAACCATCACAACACCAATGTCCATTACTTAATAAAATAAAAACGCGCGCGCGCGCGCACACACACACACACACACACACACACACACACACACACGCACGCACGCACGCACGCACACGCGCGCGCGCACGCACACACGCACACGCGCACACGCGCGCGCGCGCGCGACATACTGACCGGTCTTGCCTGCATTTTTGGTATATATAAATACACCCTATATACTGTAAATCTTTGTGATATATAATGCAATGTATTGTGGTTAGTGTATTCTAAATGTACATCTGCCAATTTTGGGAATTAGCAGCTATGTTATCAAGGCCTGTAATATTAAAATAATAATAGTAATAACAAGAACAAAATAAAGTAATTATGTATGATCATTGGCTGAGTGATAGTAAAATTGCAGTATGATAGTTTGTAATAGTGTCAATGTGAATTGTGAAACTAAATAGGTACTTTTACAATTATTTTTGTTATTTCAGGATGGCACGGAAAACAAAGACAAAATATTTTTATCATGGCAAATTGGATTGGGATTCTAATAGTACAGCAGGTCGCTATGTGAGAGACTATTGTAAACCTCTCATGGTATGAATAATTTATCTTAAAAATAGTGCAATTGCATTTTTCTTTTGTCCTTATAATAATTGTATAATTTTGTTTTTCAGAGGTATCTTAACACTAACGAGGAGGATTACAGACAGCTTTTTGATTTAATACGCCGTATGTTGGACTATGAGCCAAGTTCGCGCATAACACTTGCAGAATCATTGAGGCACCCATTCTTTGACAAAATTCCGCCCCACCAGAGACTTGGTGATTTTCATGCAAGCGGAGATGATAGCAGGGAAAGAAGTCATTCATTGTCGCGATGAAATGGTTAGTGTTAAGAAGATTATATGAAATTAAGGATGAAGTATCACAGATGTATTTGTGTTGTATTTACTGTAAATAATTTTCTATTCCCTACTACAGTGCTCTGAAGAAATAAGTGTAAAATGGACTATGGACTAATATTAAACTTGCTATTAAGGTTCCACTATATATGTATTGTTGTGAAATGTTAAATTGATGAGAACAATTGTATTTGTATAAATTTCAAAGTTCAGCTAGAATTTTATGAATACCAGTTAATTTTAATTTTTTGGTATTGCCGAACTGTATTTTAAAATTTCTCTCTGTTCTTTATGATATCAACTTCAGTTAATTGTTCAATGTTACTACCTCTGAATGTTGTAAAAGATCTATTAAAAAATTAAATTGTCATGTTTAATAACCTCAGCTTTTCGTGTAGGACACTTGTTTAATCTAATAAAAGAATCGGATAGTGTTAATTTTTTTTTTTGGTTTGGTTATTTTTAATTATTTATCTTAAGGATAAGAGACTACATCATAATATTTAAATGTATTATAATTTAACATGTTGGGCAATTATGCTGTATTATACCTGTGTAACAAAATAAGAAATTGAATTTCAGAGGTGCACTTTAGTAAATGGCTTAATTTGATTTTCAGCAGTGTGTATGTAATGAAGAATTGTCAAGCGTCGCTGTGCTCCAAGTTGCTGTCCATAGTGAAAAATTTCTCTTGGAAGGCATCTTACTCTCCTTGGTGCATGGACAAAAAAAGTGTACAGTCACGAAGTTAATAAATAAGTTCTTATATGCGATTTCTTGCTTTAGTTGTAGAACTTGGACTCGTGTAGTACACTAATAAGACTTGTGCTAAAGGCCAATTTTTCTCCATTTCAATGAAAAGAGAAAATACAGAAAAGGACCCTGATGTTTTGGGAAACAGTGTTTAAATTTAAGTTGTGATCATGTGATGATTCAAACTAAATCTTGGCAACCTGTACATTGAAAATCATATTTTTGCTTCATTATTTTGTGTAGTAATTTAAATCTCTTTGGTATTTAAAGAGGGTTAACATTTTTATTCTTAAACATGTTAATTAAATCACTCAAATCACTTCTTTATGTACATAGTATTATGATTTTCATCCTTTATGAATGTACATTTCAAGGAGGATTTTCATTAAACACTATCATTCAAATAGTGGCTTATTTATTGTACCCAATTTAAAAACTAACAATCATGAAGGTTTGGCTTGTTGACGCAAACATTCAGGACATTTTTTTTAGGAAAACGTTAGTAAAGTTGTGAGATTCCAAGTCATACAACACTAAAAGGGCTTCAAGACAAACTGGTTCTCAACGTATTTTGGAGTGACAGCAGAAAATCACTCTTGTTACAGCATTTGAAATTGTAGGCATGTTTCCACCGAAACAGTGATTTGAAATTGTCACATTTCCGAAAATGCTCACACTACTGATTAATGCCGTTTAAAAGACACACCTCAACTCCTTAAAGTTGTTTGTAGGTCAGCAATGATTGTGTACATTTTATAAAGAATCAATCCTCTTAAAACATGTAGGTCTTGTCTACAATGACCAGATTTTCAAATTCACTGATAATATTTAAACACGAGAAAAGAACTCGTTATTTTTAAATCTTTCCTCCACACTTCACTTTTTAAGGACAGTCTTACTAAATAGAGCTCTTAACAAGACAAGCCTTATCACAAAACATTTCTTTCTTCATATTCCAGGTATCTTTTTTCCACACTAACATATTTTCTTCAACTATACCAATTCATTGCAGATGTTTAAAAACCATGTGTCTAATCATGAACTTGTCAAGCTCCGGGATATTCTAATTCTTTAGCAATTTTGAGTGCTTTCTAATGGATGTTGCTACCTACAGATACCTTGCTATAAGCATGACAAAACCATTCAAATGTGAATTCAGTTGTGAATATTGAAGCCCAGGATGTTATGAAATGAGCATTAACCGGCACTATTTTTATTTGTGATCCACAATTTTAGAACACTACAGGGCCTTTTAACTCCAGTATAACTTGGTGGAAACCATTACAATGGCGCACTCTGCTGCAGCTCCTCCTTACAGGAACTAAAACAAACTGCTGCCAACGATACATAAAATGTGCGTGACTGCTGTGAGAGTTTGTGGATCACAAGCAGGCTCTTAGAAAAGATAGCATAGATTTTCATGCTTTCTTCAGGGGTTTCTTATGTGTGTCTTATGAATAATTGCATATTTAAAAGACTTTTCCTATTTTTCACAAATTAGCTCTACCTGGCGAAGGTAGCGCCTCCTAGAATAGCACCCTCGAGCTTTTTCCCTGATTTTGATGGAGAGTGGCAAGGCGCTAAAATAGCCAATTTTGTTTTTAAAATTCAGTAATCTGTTTTAACAGTACCAAAGTGCATGGACATGTCTTGAAAAATTGTTTTCTTTCTCCTAGACTTTAACGACTTCCACTTTCTCCTTTAAAGTCAGTAGTTTACGTTTCTGTGGTATTGCTCAGTTCACTCGCTTTTCAGTGTAATCATGATGGTGTCTGTCTGCACTGAAAAGAATTCATAACTTTTAAACAATGAATTGTCTTTGTAATATTTGATTGAAGTTGGAAGTATTTGTTTTTTCTTCCAGGCTGTCTGTTATTAAGAAGTTTTAATTACGTTGGCAGGGTAATCTATTATTAAGAATGTCCATTATTCCCATTAACACCTATTGCATTGATTTTAGTATTATATATATATATATATATATATATATATATATATATATATATATATATATATATATATATAAACAGTAAAACATAATCATATGTTGCAATAAAATACGTATTTAAATACAAAAAATATACTTTCCAAAGTTTCCTTCATAATACACATCCTAAACCTTAATTATCAAGCTCAAATAATCTTTAATCACCATTAACAGTTTATAAGCAGAAAATTCTTTTTACAGCAACAATTTTTTATTGCTTACTATTAATTATGGAAATAATGTAAGAGATTATTACTTTCCTGCATACTGCTTTTTTAGTATATTGAAAATATTGTAATTGTGAGGAGAAACCTATGATTTTTTAACAGAAACATTTAATAACCATATATGTAGTAAATTACTACCACTGATTCTGACTTTCGGCGCGCGATGTCGCCCAGGGCTGTGGTGTAGGCGATGCTAGTACGTTCGTAAACCTACCCCAGTAAGTACTGAGAAGCCCTCCTGTAATGGGTTTGCCGTTGCGTGGCCGACTCTCACCTCCGCGCGGTGACGCCTGGTAATGCATGTCATGGCAAGTTGAGGTGCATCCAAGAGTGATGGGCGGTAGGCGAGTCTCCTGTGCCTTAAAACTGGAGCATCTAGCTAAGGGAAAGAAATCCCTGACAGAAAAACCATCTCGGAGACCCCACATCACGGGGGAAGGAGGTCGAGGGTCTGTAGCTCACGGTCCCGTCGTGCTCCTCGGAGCGACTAGCAGCGGACACTTAACAAAGCCGCGGGTGCGAATGGCGGCGCGCCCCGTGAACAACAGGCCACCTTTTATGACGACCCTAGCTTGTAACGGTTCATGATTAGGATTCCCTTCGAGGCGGATCGCTGCGCACATTGTGCCCAGAAAGGAGGGGGTGGCTACATGGCCACTGATTTGAATAATATGGTTCGGCATCACGATATTATCCATAGTAATATCCCCCCTAATCTTTTCATTTTGCAAATGCAGCAAGAATTACAAAGTTACGCTATCAGCTTTGAGTCATTTCCCTGTGTCCGGGTCCGAAAGAATCTAAAGAAGACTTTACATGCGAGTTATGCTCCGTAAACTTCGCCACCAAATAAGGACTCTCACATTTGCGCCATGTTCATCCAGACGCAACTATAGGGTTCGAGCTGCCAAGGCGCAGCGTAGTGGTAGGAATGCTGTGCCTAGAGCAAGGAAATTCTTTTCTTCGGAGGAAATCATGAAAGTGGCGGCATTGGAGAAAGAGCAACCAGAGATGTCGAACGAGAATTTAGCCGCTCTACTGGGTAAGACCGCCCGACAGATAGGTGAAAAAGAAAAGAGACTACATATCGAAGTATTTAGCTACCGTCACCTACGCCATCTTCGTTCCCATCTGATGGTCGGTGGTGCGATGATTTAGCTAGACATTAGTGCTGCTGTTATCTCATCGCCTCGGAGGGTCATTAGCCCCCTGAAGACTCCAGTAAGCCAAATCCCCATGCTGATTTCTTCTTCTCCCCTGTATCGAAGGCCTACTATTGGGACATAAAGAAAGCCGATGATCCCCTGCTCTGACACTTGTCCAAAGGGGATGGAAACGACTTTAGAAGTCGAGATACGCAAACAGCCTTATACCGATTCCCCAAAACCTCGGTCCATAGGAAGTGACCCTGAGGAACTTGCAATGGTAGACATTGCCTCCCCGGAAGCAGATTGGGGGAGATCCCCTAACGAGGAGGCCGTTATAGATTCCAGAGATGAATCAGGAACTTTCGTCTGAGCCCGTCCTCTTTGATTCTGTTTTATCTGCTGTTGACACGACTCATTTCGACACGTGTGATCGGTTAGGACAAGACCAAACTCTTATAGAGTCCTCGGCTGCTATGACGCCCGGAGACGTAACTACTGAAACTGAGCCACACTAGAAGCCAAGCCTAACTGGAAGGAAAATATTTCAAATTGGATAGGAATCGGGGGTACTTATAAATATAATGTAGTTCTTCTAAATCTAAGGTGGGAAAATCATTGAGGTGGGAAATGAACTGAAAACAAATATTGTATCACAGGAACAATTGAACGAGACCTATGCCAAGTTAGTGGAGATCTTGGGCGGCTCCTCTGTATCCACCACCATCAGTTCAAAACGGCCTCGTAGACATGGAGGCAAACGCGCTAGGAAGCGCTACTCTTATGCTAGGGCACAAGACCTCTTCAAGAATGATCCAGCGCTTTTGGCAAAGTGCATTAAACCGGCATTGAGTGTAGTAGTGTTGATAAATAGCCCCTTAACAGGAATGAGGTTAATGACCTAAACAAACCCATCTGGGGTAACACGCCCCCAATTCGGATTTCCGAATTAAGAGAGGGCGATAAATTGTTGATATCTGAAATGGACCCAGACACAATTCAATACGTAGTGAAAGTTGGCGAAACTAAAAGTCGTCTGGCTGGGATGAAAAATGCCTCTGCTTCATAATCTGATAAGATAAGAGTTAGTCACATATCCTCAGGAGCAAAAATGGAAATATTGTCCCTATTGTACACCCAAATTTTATACAGTGGCTTTGTGCCTTATGGGTGGAAAACTAATAGCACCATCCTTATACCAAAAGAGGGTAAGGTATATGCAACCGTTTGCGCCACGGGGCATATATATATATATATATATATATATATATATATATATATATATATATATATATATATGCCCCGTGACGTACCTGGGAAGCGGTACTTTCACGACAAATAAATTATGCAAGGGACAGGTACATTTTCGTGAATGGGTCTCCAGGAATTTGGCGCGGTATAGGAAGATAATCGTTATTAATTCTTTTGCACATTTAAATATTTGAATGATCAAAGAACACACCTTACAAATAGTATTAACAAATCGCAATGCGCAGGTCTTGGAAACAAGCGCACGGTCAGCGCTACCTCCATGTTTTAAAAACCACCTGCTTCCTCTGGATGCGACCGGGGCCGTCGTGGCAACGGCGGCGGTGGCTTCGGCAATCTTCGGTTCGCCCCGAAGTCCGCCGGGAATTCGCCTTCCCTCGGCGATCAACTCCTCTGGCCCAACGTAACGGCCGATGAATACGCCGGGGTCCACCCCAACCGGTGTGAACAATGTCTCGCGGGTATTGGAACGCACAACGCGTGATTGATGTTCGTCGGCTGTTCTAGTCTTTTCAGCAACCTTTCTCAACTTCGCGCGAATGTCCGTAAGCACTGCCCACTGTTATATTATACCAGGGCGGGATTACGACACTAGCCCACCGGTCACACGATTTCCTGTCTTATTGGTTTTCGTCAGTTCTGGTGCGCAAATCTACTTCCACTAATCATCTGACTGTTAATCCTTATCAAACCTGGTTCCACATTCATGGCCACAGTCAGTCCGAACTGCACTTACCAACGACAATAAATCTCTTGGACGCACCACTGCCCCGTC